AACACACGAATGACTACGTTGAGACTTATCGAGAAACAGAGGAGAACTGTCAACCAGTCGGAGATTAAACAATCCAGCTACTCCCAATATGCCTTTCATTCAATACACAAAATATCCAGCAGAATAATCTGCTGTTAATATTCCTACTCTATATACTGGCTATTTTCTAACACATTTTCATAGATACTTAATGAGCAGAGCGGTGCATCTCATTGTCGCCAAGCCCTATATCAGTTTGTATATGCTTGTTCAATTTTCATCTTCAACCACACACTGATGCATTTCACTCCTGATACAACTAGCAAGAAATCCCATCATCAACTGAATGACGTCAACCGAGTGCACTCGAAAGCTGGGTCTTTACTGTACAAATCAGTCACCTAGGCTCAGAGGAGACAGTTAACTTGGTTAGCAGAGAATAAGTGCTGGAAAGCCAGATGATGAGAATCATCGTCTGCACCTCTCACCAGATCACAACGTACTTATCCCTGACACAGACTTAGAGTTCAACTGTCACTCTCGTCCTCTCTGGCTTCCATCCTATCACATTCAAACACGAAATCAGATCGATCACATTGAAGTCAACTACCGGATGTATGGTGAGGGAGACTCGTCATCTATCTACACAATATAGGCTTCGTTCACGTCGTCTTCACGCTCCTCCAGCTGCCTAAATACAATCTGGAAATCACAACTCACTCAGATCCCTTGCACTCAACTACACCTTAAAACTGTCTTTCAGAGACGAATATCTCTGAGACGATTATGCATATCTTGGAATCCCCATAGAAGAAAACAACAACAAAACAAACACCGCTGATAGAATGACAGCATACAATCGGTTATCACCACTGATCTCAATCAGGAGTGCGATTAGATGGACTTGTTACGTCTAGTCATCTCTCTATAACCCTATCATCGACAATATTCCAGTGACTGCCTCGGAGGAGGTCAGTGTTAGTGGTAATGTACACCTGTTATAATCACAGAAAGACTTTTCCACCTTCAGCATCTAGAGGATATCGTCTTCCCGTGTGACAACTCATAGACTACCCTTAATCCTACACAATCAGTTAGCCATCAGTGTCTCCAAGTATGTAGGAAATGTGCCTAGCACCACTGAAGTGCAAAACGCTTTTAAACCCTCGCCTGAACTAGTCCTCTCAGGTGAACCGTTAAAAGCAGTAGAAAAGTCCTTATATCCAGGCTGTTGTCTGACTAGTGCTGCAAGGATGAAATCTCCGATTGCACATCAAATGTTAAACAACATCAACCGAACCGAACCATCTCCGCCTTGTCAAACGTTGGCTTTACAACCCCTAGCTGCATATAGTTCTACTCTAAATCCATGAAACAAGCTCTGACCAAAATGAAGACACACGACGTCTCTGGCCGTCTGATTACCAGTATCTTCACAGGACTACTTACACCTGGTGAGCAATCCTGAGGTCCACTGACTGATATAGTCCCTCGATAAATAATATCGTCCTGTCACACACCGGACTTGGTGATCAATGACATCCCGTGGGAGTCGATTACACACCACTTAACCTGGAGCCGCTTCCAAGATACAAACGAGTAGTCGGTCACCAACGTGTCTCCTCGAGATGAATAACCTGTGCTGCATTAGTGTCTACACCATCACGAGCATCTCAGTGTGGTTTCACAGATACACTTGCTCAAGACGCTATCAAACAAAATTCAGAGTCAAAATCAATGCTACTCATGATGCAGATTTCTGGTCTCTTCCAGTACACAAACTAGTACAACAAATGCAGTCAGTAATCCATTGAATGTAATTAATGGGAGTGCTTACCCGTGTATTCGGTCACTATTTAACTATTAATTTCCCCTTGCCTCTCCTCAAACCCCTGTCCCGTGCATTGGTCAGTATCTGAGTTTACACAAATACAGTATAATAAACACACGAATGACTACGTTGAGACTTATCGAGAAACAGAGGAGAACTGTCAACCAGTCGGAGATTAAACAATCCAGCTACTCCCAATATGCCTTTCATTCAATACACAAAATATCCAGCAGAATAATCTGCTGTTAATATTCCTACTCTATATACTGGCTATTTTCTAACACATTTTCATAGATACTTAATGAGCAGAGCGGTGCATCTCATTGTCGCCAAGCCCTATATCAGTTTGTATATGCTTGTTCAATTTTCATCTTCAACCACACACTGATGCATTTCACTCCTGATACAACTAGCAAGAAATCCCATCATCAACTGAATGACGTCAACCGAGTGCACTCGAAAGCTGGGTCTTTACTGTACAAATCAGTCACCTAGGCTCAGAGGAGACAGTTAACTTGGTTAGCAGAGAATAAGTGCTGGAAAGCCAGATGATGAGAATCATCGTCTGCACCTCTCACCAGATCACAACGTACTTATCCCTGACACAGACTTAGAGTTCAACTGTCACTCTCGTCCTCTCTGGCTTCCATCCTATCACATTCAAACACGAAATCAGATCGATCACATTGAAGTCAACTACCGGATGTATGGTGAGGGAGACTCGTCATCTATCTACACAATATAGGCTTCGTTCACGTCGTCTTCACGCTCCTCCAGCTGCCTAAATACAATCTGGAAATCACAACTCACTCAGATCCCTTGCACTCAACTACACCTTAAAACTGTCTTTCAGAGACGAATATCTCTGAGACGATTATGCATATCTTGGAATCCCCATAGAAGAAAACAACAACAAAACAAACACCGCTGATAGAATGACAGCATACAATCGGTTATCACCACTGATCTCAATCAGGAGTGCGATTAGATGGACTTGTTACGTCTAGTCATCTCTCTATAACCCTATCATCGACAATATTCCAGTGACTGCCTCGGAGGAGGTCAGTGTTAGTGGTAATGTACACCTGTTATAATCACAGAAAGACTTTTCCACCTTCAGCATCTAGAGGATATCGTCTTCCCGTGTGACAACTCATAGACTACCCTTAATCCTACACAATCAGTTAGCCATCAGTGTCTCCAAGTATGTAGGAAATGTGCCTAGCACCACTGAAGTGCAAAACGCTTTTAAACCCTCGCCTGAACTAGTCCTCTCAGGTGAACCGTTAAAAGCAGTAGAAAAGTCCTTATATCCAGGCTGTTGTCTGACTAGTGCTGCAAGGATGAAATCTCCGATTGCACATCAAATGTTAAACAACATCAACCGAACCGAACCATCTCCGCCTTGTCAAACGTTGGCTTTACAACCCCTAGCTGCATATAGTTCTACTCTAAATCCATGAAACAAGCTCTGACCAAAATGAAGACACACGACGTCTCTGGCCGTCTGATTACCAGTATCTTCACAGGACTACTTACACCTGGTGAGCAATCCTGAGGTCCACTGACTGATATAGTCCCTCGATAAATAATATCGTCCTGTCACACACCGGACTTGGTGATCAATGACATCCCGTGGGAGTCGATTACACACCACTTAACCTGGAGCCGCTTCCAAGATACAAACGAGTAGTCGGTCACCAACGTGTCTCCTCGAGATGAATAACCTGTGCTGCATTAGTGTCTACACCATCACGAGCATCTCAGTGTGGTTTCACAGATACACTTGCTCAAGACGCTATCAAACAAAATTCAGAGTCAAAATCAATGCTACTCATGATGCAGATTTCTGGTCTCTTCCAGTACACAAACTAGTACAACAAATGCAGTCAGTAATCCATTGAATGTAATTAATGGGAGTGCTTACCCGTGTATTCGGTCACTATTTAACTATTAATTTCCCCTTGCCTCTCCTCAAACCCCTGTCCCGTGCATTGGTCAGTATCTGAGTTTACACAAATACAGTATAATAAACACACGAATGACTACGTTGAGACTTATCGAGAAACAGAGGAGAACTGTCAACCAGTCGGAGATTAAACAATCCAGCTACTCCCAATATGCCTTTCATTCAATACACAAAATATCCAGCAGAATAATCTGCTGTTAATATTCCTACTCTATATACTGGCTATTTTCTAACACATTTTCATAGATACTTAATGAGCAAAGCGGTGCATCTCATTGTCGCCAAGCCCTATATCAGTTTGTATATGCTTGTTCAATTTTCATCTTCAACCACACACTGATGCATTTCACTCCTGATACAACTAGCAAGAAATCCCATCATCAACTGAATGACGTCAACCGAGTGCACTCGAAAGCTGGGTCTTTACTGTACAAATCAGTCACCTAGGCTCAGAGGAGACAGTTAACTTGGTTAGCAGAGAATAAGTGCTGGAAAGCCAGATGATGAGAATCATCGTCTGCACCTCTCACCAGATCACAACGTACTTATCCCTGACACAGACTTAGAGTTCAACCGTCACTCTCGTCCTCTCTGGCTTCCATCCTATCACATTCAAACACGAAATCAGATCGATCACATTGAAGTCAACTACCGGATGTATGGTGAGGGAGACTCGTCATCTATCTACACAATATAGGCTTCGTTCACGTCGTCTTCACGCTCCTCCAGCTGCCTAAATACAATCTGGAAATCACAACTCACTCAGATCCCTTGCACTCAACTACACCTTAAAACTGTCTTTCAGAGACGAATATCTCTGAGACGATTATGCATATCTTGGAATCCCCATAGAAGAAAACAACAACAAAACAAACACCGCTGATAGAATGACAGCATACAATCGGTTATCACCACTGATTCCAATGAGGATTGCGATGACTTGGACGGTGTGATTCGGTTGAACGTTTTTCGTAGGGAAGTTTTTGTTTACTTGTATGAATTCTGCAGAGTTTGGTTATGTGGGTACTGGTTATTCATCGTGTCAACCTTGTTTTTGGGAGAATGTCTCGGTGAACATTTTGCATCAACTTCCCTTTTTTAGCAGGATTCTTGTAGGATTGTGTGATATTGTGTCAGATCATTAATGTCATTTTAATTAAATTTTGGTGTCGATAGTAATAAAGCGCTGTAATAAGTACTCGAATTCACTGATTCGGGCACGTTGGACATATCTTCCCCATTCGGCAGAACTTGTTTACTTTTGAGATATCTACACAGCATTATTTTGCTATTCATGATTCAGTGATCCCTTATGAATTGCTAGTCAAGCGGGAAAAATGTTTCGGTTACTAGTTCGGTTTTAGTTAACTAATAGTTCAGTTATTTACGGAGTTTTCACGTTATTCGCATATTTTGTGTAGTTTTAATACAGGGGAAGCATATTTAGACTTTGTTACCTAAAGAGTGTAGTCAGGAGGCAATATTTACGAAATACTGCTAGGAGAATTCTGATAGGAACAATGGAGGTTTCAGCCATTAAAAAATTCGCATTCACGTGCGAGATGTTTAAAAATACAAATTAGCAGTTACTCAAATGCAGGTTCTAGGTGATATATTATTATACGACCATATAAATCTGAAGATTTGTTGAAGACAAAGCGATAATTGCAACATTTTCTGGGTAACTGAACATTAAATGACTGAAGTGAACTGTTGTCTTCAGGGTAAACTAGAAATGTATATTTGTCTTTCTCATCACCGTCCCAACCTTCAATTATAACCTCTGTACTTGAAAATCCTCCTTGGAATTGTATTCTGAATGTGGTAAGGCGATGTACTTCATGCAGTTCAAGGTGGATCCACTGGGGGCTACCATGATCAGAATTCCAACAAGTTTCAGGATTTTTGTCAAATAAATGACCCTTCCCAAAGTCCTTATAATTGTTATTAAGTGTAGAACTGACTGAAAAGCGCTTCACACAATCCAACATTTCGTGAGTGAGTATAAGTTATTGTGAAACACAACTCAACGAGATTATTCCAGGCAACCTAGAGTAGAGCAGAAAAACACAAACTACAGTTATGAAAAACTTTATCGACAACAATTGTAATCATAATATATAGGGATGATGGAGTTCATAATACTTTCAGGCAAATATTACTATCTGAACACAAACGTGATATATTTTCACCAATAGATAGGTAATACAAAAACAATACAATGTACGCAAAAGTGATAAAGGAAAATGATCATAAAAACAGGCAAACAATAGATGAGCATTAATCACTTCAAGTTACTCCCAGAGAAAGAAGAAAGGATGAAATCGCGCCATGATCGCCATCGATTAGGATTTTCATTTAGTTTAGTTAAGTATGACTCACTTACCGTGTAGCAAATGAGCCACACTAACTGCATGAGGAGTGATGGCACTACTCACTTAGGTTGAAGTAGGTGCAGTGCTTAAGCTAATAAGCTACGAATCAATGAGCATAACACAATTGTTCCGTTCCGCCCAGGGACTCAGCCTACTGAATATATCAGAGATCGTCTCAAGCCAGTGACAGATTATTTCAGTGATGCCTACATGATCATTGAGACATTGTCATCAGCTATGTGTCATCTTTCAGCTCAGTGCACGCGCCCCTATATTTTTGTAGATACATGTGCCAACTTGAAGTCCGATCGAGGTTTTCTAAGTTATGGTATAAAAATATATAGCTTCAGCGAGTGATGTGTTTGGCAAAAGACGTCTATATTGGGAGTAGGACCTCTACTTCCAAACAAAAGCTACAATAGCCATTTACTTTCTGGTAATTCAGTAGTTAATTTCTGCACCAATTCATTGTTTGGTAACATATTTATCACTCCTGCCCTGTGACACTGCAGCAGGAAGCGCGGTCGTTGTTAATCCAGGCCACGACCGATCCGGCATGAAATGTTTTGATTTCGTTTGTATCATAATGTTGGATTGCGCAGCTGCTTTTTGTTTAACCGCTATCCAAACAACCTGCCTGGTATGGTAGGACCTGAAGAGAGACAAGTCTCAGCCATTATAGCTCGATTAGGTCATTGCGGTGTTCGAGCCCGACCACCACGTCAAGGTAGCAGCTTTCGGTCGCACATAAGTGCAAAGTTCTATGTCGAAAACAGACAAGCACCACTTCATGTGCGGTTACAGTGGTGAATGACATCCTATTCCATAAATCCCAATAGCCTCACAAAAAAAACTACAACAAACAAACGGTTAGAGAAATAATTACAAAACTAATGAGAATGTAATGGACCTGAAAGATACGAAATAGTGAATGCATCTGCACCATCCAGAACGATTTTGATCCATCTCAGTTTCCAACAATGCTGGGGACCTCCACATAGTAGTTAGACACTTGATGGATTGGTGCCGTTTTGATTGGACCATCCCTAACTAACCCGATATCCTCTAATATTTTTCGACAGGAAAGACTAGGTTCAGGTGTGTGTGCTCAACTACTTTACTCCCCATATTTAAACTTTGAGTCAGTATTGGACGGTCCTGCAGCTTGGCGTAGACTGGGAGCGAAACACATGCCAGGGATTGTGAGGTTTATGCTCAAGGTGCTCAGAAGATTGCATTTTATCATATTCATCTGGTCTAATTTGGTGAGACCATCCCCTTGTAACAAGTTAGTCTTTAAGTGCTGCAGGGTCACATTCATTAGTACATCTTTTATGAAATTAAACAAAAGCGAGTACATATGACATCCACAGAGTACACAAATCCAGATAACTCGCCGAAGCTTCAAACACACTTTCATGTATTTGAATAAAGTGCCTTGATTAGTGAGATAAGCATCCCTGGCTCTTCCTTCATAACCAAATTATGCGAACTCATGAGGTGCGTTCACGTTATTTGGATAGCTATTCTTTAGTTACTTTTTTTTATTACAGCTTGTTTCCACACTGTATTTTTGCTACATGTATGGAATTTTCAGCATGGATATCGGTAGCTCAGATTTCGCAGGCCGGCCATAGATATCAGCTGTGCGTCGGCAGGGGATCGAACCTCGGACCATGTGCATGGTCGGCGAGAGTCCTAACCACTGAGGCACCGGCCAAACACAACTTGAGCGCAGATTTAATTAGTTTTCCACTATACGCTATACAATTTTTGAAGGAATTGATGGAAAAAGGTGTAGAGAATTGGTTCTCTTCTCATATGCAGTAGCATTAAAGTTATAATTGTAGCATATGATGTACCTCAGATTACTGCTTAACATGTAAATTCGGTATCCAAATACTTTGTAACTGAGTTCACTCAAAATTCCTGCATTATATATACGCATACGCTAAAATAGTGATTACTATTATTATACTCCATATTAGATTAAGTCTATTTACATTACACAATGTAGTTCAAGCTGCCACACTACGTAGCACAAAGTAAAAATCAATATAATGAGCAGATACATGCAGCAGAAATGACAGTATCATGAGTCTGCCGTATCTGACAGATTACTGTAACAGAAGAGCACAGACAATAATATATCAAGCACGCTGGACTAAAACGTGATACGCAGAACAATCGGGTCGAAACAGTTTATAATTGCCAAACGTCTCAATAGAACAAAAAGCCAAAATTATGTACAACAAAAGAGCTAGGTTATAACTGTTTAGAGACCGCCGGGCTTTAAATTTACGCTCTCTTTTGAATCCGACCCACTATAATTACAAACGAAATTAAGACACGCCTACCTCGCGCCCCTAGAAAGGTAGCCACCGAAGCGAACCAATGCGCCAAAAACCTTCCAATATCCAATATCCAATATCGTTTTTACGAGCTAGTATAAACCAATTTGATTTCTTTGTGCTCGCCTCTTGATTGTGAGGTATAGGTTCTTGATCTTCGGTAAACTTCTGCGTAGCTTGTCCCGCCACTCGACTGTCGTAGCTTTGGTTGACTCCAAAGGGAGTAGTGCTGGGATTAATTATATGTGGTTTGTAGTATGAGGTATGTTAAGACTGTTACTACTGTGATTGGAGTTGATCCTTTCGCCAGTTAGTCCTTCGGTATTGTCGACAAGAGAAAAGAGATAGTAATAATAATAATAACCTTGAAACGTGAAAGCACAGCAAGTCAGTATAATCAGGTAAATAACTTTATTTCCACGAAAAAAGATGAGAGAGACGTGAGAATTTTCAACAGGATACCTAACTAATGTTTATGGATGACTCAAAACTGTAACAGCTCAAAATGCAACAACCTAGTGTACGCATGAATGACCTTGAGCAAACAGATAGGTCGAGTGGCTCTATTGGAATATGGTAACTTCCACAGGTGCACTTGTGTACAAGCTTCTATAGTGAAAGTCAGTCAGAATGCAATATAGTGTAGGTATAACGAAATGTTTTAAAAGTGGATAGTAATCACCGAAATTTCAGCAAATGATAAGTGCATTTTTTCATTTGGTTCTTTTCTAACTAAAAAAAGTGTTGTCTTACAATAACTTCTCCTTTTACCCGAGATAGCTTTCGCACTCTGTGTCGTTACATCTCATGAGTTGATTTACTTCATCCTATAGCCTAAATGCTATATCAAAACACATCTGATGAAATTTTTTCAAGTGTCGATTTTTAGGGATTCGATTGGTTACATGATTTCATCATGAGCTGACATTAGTTCTTTTTGCTTATTACTAACTGAATATAATATTTTTCAAGTGGGGAATGTAACAAATCGCACTGCTGCACTTCTGTGCTGAGTTCTTTGTTACAACTCAGTCAGTCAGTATTTGTCACTGCTGCTGCCTAGTGTCACTAAAGTAATAAAGTAATTGGCTTAAATAAGTAATAACGCCGTTTTCTAAGTGATGTTCCCATCACTCATCACTCACTGGGAAATGCAGGTACACCCAGATGACGAGTCACAAATAAGACGACATTCACTTCCTGGATTCCATTCCCAGTCACCGTCCACCAACGTAATTCTAATTAAGTCCCTAGATATCGTCGAAGCATCTGCACACGAAGCCGACATGTCGACCTGAGACTGAACAATTCGGTCCAATCAGTCGACGAGAAAATCTAAAATTCAATTAAATTCTACTGGATGTTGTCATATATAGTGTCTGCAAGCGGTCTTTCAATATATCTATCTCCCATGAAGTTGTTGTTACGAAGCCTTGAGATTATTCACATCTGGCCGTAGTACAATTAGCAAGCTTATATTACTGATGCAATGATATGCAAGACTTGCACATGTTGCTGTGAAGTTTGCCTGTTACATGATTCCTTACATAGTTAATAGAAAGCTTGTTATAACAATTCGTCATTATCTTTCCATTGCGTTGATGGAATCGCATATATTGGAAAAACGTTAACCTTTTCGTATAAGTTCTCGAGAATACCTTCACTAGATACCTACACTTCTGCTTAGTGCAAAGTGCCACTCGTGGTTCATGAAATACTTATTAATGCATTCGTGAATAACTATCAAACTATTATTATATGGAGTAGTGAGACAGAATGCGTATGAAATTTGGATATTAATGTGTATTTGCATTTACTGACACAATAAATATGTATATGTTTTAATTCGAAACAAGAAAATTTTGTAGAGGAATGTAGAGCTGAGCGCAGTGAGTTAGTAGTGTATTTATTACTGTACACATCTTGTATAAGTGGAATGCCTCTATTCGATTTTCGTAGAAACTGCAGGCTTTCTACGATGCACTCTCATAGGGAACTATAGTTGGTACTGAGGAATTCAGCCAAAAGCATCTGAGACACAGTCGAACCACTTTTCATCTAAAGGCGATTTATCTGCAAACTGAGGAACGCCAGCGTAAGACGGAACCACACCTCAGCAGGGTACACTCCATGTTGTGAAATTCCTTTAGATACAAGTGGAATTCATGGATTGCGCATTTGTTCAACATGGAAGCGTCCCACTGAGTCATTTAGACGAAAGGCTGGCGAAACGCGATACTTTTTACACCGACCTGAATATGGACGCATGTGTTATTTCACGCGAACTCTGGGCCACATCGAGAAGGCATTCCTTTAAACTGACCCTACGTTGTACGCTCAGTTACTGTTCGTATATAATAATAATATATATTCTCATTTTTTACATGAGGGACGCCAGTTTACAGGCATCATCAATTCGATAATTTACACATAATATTAATAAGCATATTTAGTAAAGATAATATAAGAAGGTACATTTTTTCCCTAGCTATGTAGGGTACACCAATTGTATAGGCATGCATAAATATTGTTTTAATAATAATATATTTCACCCTGTTTATGCAGGAACATACCTATTGTACAGGCATGGATAAGTTGTTATATAAATTACACATAATTTGATGTATAATGGATTTACAGTTTGGTTTTTTTTTCTGACATTAGAGTCAGTCGGAACAGTCTGCTATAAAGTCTGTTTGTGTAGCACATAAAGAGATATAGAAATATTGTCTTCGCATTAACAAAAAACCCAGACATCAGATGAATGTAATACAGATATCTGGGAAAAATAAAGCTTGAAGTCAATTCTCCTATATAACTTTGTTGTGAACAGCACCCTTGGCTTAAAGATTATTGATGTATTATGTTGAGATCAGTGATATATTTATTCCATTTTTCAGCAGTCTTATCGTAGTTTCATAACAGGAAAGAAATTTGATCGTGGAGGCGAAAACTAGATAAGGTCATGTTGAGTTGTTTTACTGCATCAAATGGTGCCGAGGTCGATTCCAGAATTCTCCATTTGCGCCATTTGTGTCTGCATGGCGGACTGTACTCGTAAGTTGAGTAAAATGTTGAAAACTGTTTGAAAACCAGTTGCTTCTTTATTTCAGATCATGAATACTCATTTACAGCATGTTCGCCAGCGTCTTCAAATGGTAGAATTGGATCGTTCCTGGAATTTGAGTGATTATGGGATAAATGGTTTGGAATTAATCATAGCAGTTAGAATACAGTTAAACATGCAGAGAAGTACTTTTGATTCAGCAACCGGTGAATTTTTTATTCTTTTCGATCTAGTACCAGAATAACTGCGAACCATTCCATTCAATATGTCGAATAAGGCATGCAGGAGGAGATCATTACCATCGAATGAATCAACTTGATCTGAGATGCAGCTTTCAGCATGTTTTCGTTATATCATAGATATCCAGGTTTATTGGCGCTGTGAGGCGAGTGATTTGGATTATGACGTATTCTACAGAGTCTCCGTGCCCATTTGAAGTATACATATGCTTTGAAAGGATTACTTTGTTGGCTCCTACCCCCACTGAGTGTTAACAACAGCAGCTGTGGATTTATGTATTTCCTCGCCATTTTGGATAAAACATCGCCGCATTCTTTTTGGGTAGGAGACCAGTTGGTGGATTATAAATGATGTTCAAGTAACTTTTATCTTTTCATGTGGTGTTGCGGTAAGTTTCTACCTTGTTTTCTCATATTTCATTCGTATGTTGGTTATGGTTCGCCCTTTGTATCAGGTAGACATAGTTTGATCGACTCTTGGTTGAATGGGTGTTATTGTCATGACTGCTGCTTTTTTGTCTGGAATTATAAATAGAGACAAAACAAACAACAGGTGTAGTCTCTGAGTTCATACATTAAATGGGCCTATGATTTCTGAAACTCTTACATGGGAATTACCACTGGTATCAATTACAAACTCACTTAGTGTGTCATTAAGTGCCTTTTCAAAGGAGGCCAATGTGCTTGCTAGTCGCATTTTCTCAGGTAGTTTGTTCCATATTTGGGCATACCTAATCAAGAAAAACTTTTGCCTGGTGGCTGTTTTACATGGTTCTATAGCCACTGTACCTTTAGTGTGTCTAAGGTTGTATCCTGTGTTACCTGAGAACCGAGTATAGTTAGCAGGGGTATACACTATTTGGTTAAGAAGCTTATAGAAGAGTACCAGATTTAGTCGCAGTCGCCTTAACCATAATGTTTCTAGTCCCAGGATTTCACATCTGGTAGAGTAGTTTGTGCCGTTATCGGTTCCGAGTACTTTTCGCGTGAAGTACCTCTGTACTCCTTCTACTTTCAGTTTGTCTTCTATGCGTGTACTACTGAATATGAATGAGCAGTAATCTAGGAGTGGGCGCACACAAACCTTGTACAGTAGTATTCTGGATTCGTTTCTGTAGAAGTTCCTGAGTAGGAAACCAATAAGCCTTCGTGATTTCGACACTTGATTCGAGATATGCTCTGAAAATGATAGATTGTGTGAATATTTCAGTCCTAGGTCTAGTACAGATTTGAGTCTGGGGATTTTGTGGCCCTGAATTGCTAGGTTGAGGTCAAGGTTGGAACAGCCTATGCAGAGCCATCCACACTTTTCAACATTAAACTCAAGTCTCCACGTGTCACACCATCTATCCATTTTTGCTAATTCTTCATGTATGGAGTTCATAGTTGGGCCGATATCTGTATTTGTGCAGGTATATGTCACCTTCAAGTCATCTGCATACAGTATTGGCTTGCCTATACTAAAACATTCACATATACTGTTTATGTATATAATGAAAAGAAGGGGTCCCAATACACTCCCCTGGATGACACCACTGCTGATTGGTCTAGGTCTGGAGGTCATTGAGCCAACTTTAGTTGTCTGATTCCTGTCATACAGAAATGATTTTATCCAATTGTAGAGGGGGTTGCGTATCCCTAGTGAGCATAGCCTACCGACTAGCAGACTATGTGGGACTCTGTCGAAGGCTTTCCTTATATCGAAATAGAGGATAATTACTAGCTCTCTCCTATCTCTTCTATAGGTGACTTCGTTGAAAAAGTCTATATGGCAAGTGACGCAAGATCTTTTCTTGAGGAATCCGTGTTGTGACAGGTTGATGAGTTTATGTTTTAGAAAGTAGTCTGACATTTGGTCCTTGATTACTTTCTCCACGATCCTTGATATGACAGGTGTTATATTGATATGTATGATGTGTAATGAATTGGTGCGTTTCCCGGTTTGACAATAATTACGGAAAGCACACAATATTAAGCAACACAGATGGGTTTTCTGGAAACCGCTGGTGTTTTTTCTTTATATTTTTAATGTGGTTTACTACCATAAATTTGAATTATCCATTAGTAAGTAACACTATAAAACTCAATGACTATAAATTCTTTGTAATAAAGAAGAGGAATAAACCCTTCAGTTATCGCATATTGTTTGCTTAAAATAATTATTATTTGCAGGTTGCCTCTGCACCTCTCTTTCTGTTTTCTTCTTTCTTTTCTTCCCGAAGGCACTGCAAACGAACAGTGATGCTGCTTTCTACGTTTCTTTTACTTGAGCGTTATTCAGAATAGTGTCGGCATTTCCGATGAACAGCGGAACAAAGTACATTCTGAATTCTGTTTATCATCGCAGAGTTGGTCCCTTACATCTGCTAATACCAAAATAATGGTGTACTTACCCTTGTACTGAGGAGTTTTAAAAATTTTCCAACCCTTAATAATTGATAAAATGATAATGATCACAAAGTCTGCATCGTGTGTGCCTTACCGTAGAAACTGTGCATCACCTCTCTTCTAACCTTCCATTAATGAAAAATTTCGTAAATCCCGGATGAATGAGACTGACTATAATTATATCATAGATTATAATTTAGACTTTAACCAATATCTTGCGATCTATTCTTATAAAGTTTCTAGAGACTTTTTCCATTTTTCCAATTTTTATTGTCATAAAAAAGTGTTCCATTTCAAATTGCATTTGTCAAATATAATCATAACGAAAAATACCCATTTATTCATAAGCAAAAACACGGTTTTTTGTCCGGAGAAGAAATTTCTTTTCAACGACTTCATTTACAAGCTGTACAGTGGTATTTATATTACAGGAAAAGGTTATTAAGTGGCACTAAATTATTGCTCAGTCAATGCAATCAATATAATCATGCCTGCGTAAACGGTATCTCAAACATGTAAATGCTTAATTTATGTGAAATATATCATATTTGTCAAGGAACTTAACCCTAATTTCCTACTGTTACGAAGACGCTCCGAACCGATAAACACTACGACTGCCCAGCCAGCATTTTTTCGGGCGCATTGCAGACTTTTTGGCAGACATAGGGCAAATTGCAGACTTTTTGGGACAGACCTGGGGCAAATAGCAGATTCGAGGGAGACTTAGGGCGCATTGCAGATTTTTTGGGGCGACATCATGAGCGGTGACTGGTTACAAATCAGCCAGTGGGAGTAACCCAGATGTACTTCCCCAACCAATGACAGTTAACTTTTGAGAACTGCGTTACAATGAAACTTAATTAGTGATTAACAATACATCATTTCAAATAATATACTGCTAATATAAACCACTAACTAAATATATCTTCACTAACTGAATAATTCACGAAAAGCCCCTGTCAGCCACGTCAAATAAACCGTTAATGCCCAGCCCCTGCTGCACTCGAGCTCACGATGTTCCTTGAAGTTTCTCAGTAATGCTTAGTAATAACGGACGCAAAAACCAAAACACTGGTTGGCGACTCCAGAATAGTTTATTCTAACACCAACATATAACCAGAATAATAATTAAGGTCTATGAACAAATATTACAATAATAAATCACAATATTACTTCTGACGGTTTTATCCTGACTTCTTTCTGAACAGTGACCGATGAGACGATGACTGGTGTATCGATGTCTCCGTGAAAATATAGGGAAGTTGGGTTTGAGCAAACAACCATGAATTGATCGTTCAATCTTCAACTTCATTGACACTCCCCGGCAAATACGGATCCATCCCTTTTCTCCATCACGACCAATACACGTTGACTTGGATGCCATTGCGAGAACCTTGGTCCCACGGACAGAGCTGAAATGGAAAACAAACAGAAAAGCCAACACACCACAAGCATACTTACAGCACAATCTCACACATCAATGACGACCTGCGCCTCCAGATAGAGACCTCCTCTTGACATCTTGCAACACAGTCTCCACTTGCTAGAATGACTCTTGCAGAATGCAACGTGACCATAGCACCACCTCATGATACTCCACGCACGTCCTCGTACCTACTCACTACCAATTACCACTGCAATCGCTTGTCACTCATTCTGCCTCAGTTCTAGTAACGGTGACGTATGCGAGCCTCAGTCGTTTACACTCTAACAATTATCTCCGTATGCATTTCATTCTCAGCAATAGCCTAGCCTCCCCGGCGTATACGACCCATCTGCTGTCTCTAACATCAATCCTTTCATTCACGGATGTAGAAAACTCGAAACAACTTCAGAAGCAATCACGACGAAAATTTTAACAAAATTACGCAATAAAAACAAGGTACGAAAACAACAAGTAAACACAATGAATCCAAAAAACCCCAATTGACATGACACACCACACATATATACAAACAGTACACACAAACTCGCATTTCATGTCTTGATGGAATACCCTTGAAGAATTGCAGGACTTACACCAGTACGCCTACAACCCTTCACAGTTTGACGATTGTAAGTTGTGGAATGTCCAGACACAAAGAAGATTAACCAACAATTACAATAACTGAAACTCACACAATTTTTTAACACAAACATATGTACAATCAACACATCAAACGTGGTGGATTCTGCCTTGACGAACTACCCTTGAAGAACTGTAGGACTTGCAGCAGTACGCCTACATCCCTTCTCAGGTTGATGATCCAAGTGGAAGTCGTCCGGACACAAACAGAATTACCAACAGCTAGATGACAGATGATATCAATTCAGTATATACAATATGAACATATGTACAAAATCATACACCAAGCACATTGGACTGCTCATTGATGCACTACCCTTTGAAGAATTGTAGGACTTACAGCAGTACGCCTACAACCCTTCCCAGGTTGACGCTCTAGTTTGGAAAATCGTCGAAGAGTTCATTTGCTGACTTCCTTCTATCAGCTATATCCTCAAATCTGAACGGTAACACGCCCATGTCATTGTATCGTGAAATGTAGATGACTAACAAACATATGACGTATCTGATCAACCAAGTGTAGAAACAGAGTAATTTACACCAAAGATAATAACATTCCAATAGTAACTTGAAACTAGAAATGCCTTTATTCGTGCGAGTCAATTTAACAATTACGCTCTCGTTTACACCTGGCTTATCCTCACTAAACTGAGCAATATCTTTCGTCTTTTCAAATGCACCAATACTATCATAGTCATCGCACAAGATACTTGAGTTGATGGGCGTCCTTCTCAATGTGGATGACAACACCAACGACGACTAATTGATACCAGTTGATGAACTTAGCGGTGGATCAGAAGCTGTTGTTGTTCGGCTTTCAGATAGTTATCTAACTGCAAGACTGCCACCACTGCTGTCTTTTGCTATCAGCTCCGGCGTGATCGACTTCATCATTTTCAAACTCTTTATTATCAGGGGTAGATGATTTTGGTTGTTCTTATTGAATCCTAAAAGTTTTATGCCTTTACTCTGACTAATGATACCTTGAAACCTTTTGTAATAAGAAGTGGACTCTGAAGCTGTAACTCTCTTCTTCTGCACAAACTGTGGTGTCGTCTGTGACACTCCATTCAGCAATGGCATACCAGTTGCAACCACAGGCTTCTGGGGTGTTGTGCAGTATACTAGGGAACCTGCTCAAAGCTTGGTTGCCACTGTTTTTCACCAGGCTCAGAATATCATCCAACCCAGGCTCTAAGCCCTCCTCTTCTATAAGGGAGCTGATCCTTATGAACTTTCTTTGCAGACGAACTGGTAATCTCTTGGAAACAGTCTCAAGCACGGAACTTGAATTCAATTCGTTTACGGAATTAAGAGACACAAGAGTATTTCCGAATACCACTAAATTGTCCAAAAACTCTGCGAGTTCGTCTGAATTATCGTTTAACTGTGGTCCATTATTTTTTACGGTCTCAAAAGTACTACGGATATCATAAGTGGTTTTCCAAACCTTTGACGTAGTATCCTCATAGCCTCTGTATATCCGTCGTTTGGGGACGTAAACTTACAGCACTGTATGGATCTTGCAGCAACACCAGTGCAATACCTCAGCAAATGCATTGACTTCATTTCCTCATTTAAAGTAAAACCACTCAGTATTGTCTGAAACTCCTTGATAGACTGTGGGTAGCCGGCTGGCTTTCCATCAGAGTACCGAGCTTCAAGCTTGAGAAGACTTAAAGCCCTGCTATCCCCAAACGGCAAAGCGTGAACATCAGACTCATCATGCTAGGTATCATGCATATCATTACAATTAACAGGCAACTCATCGTTACTTTTTTGTCTGCCTCCACGGTGCCACGTCCCTTCCTTGGCCCAGGACTTATCCAACGTCACCAAAGAATCCAAATTGCGTTGACAATTCGTGTCCGTAGAGATGCTGGCTGCAGACCCAGTAAGTACACCCGGTAGAATTCCAGAAGGCGCTCCAGAAAACGAACAGAGGAACAAAAACTGTCAAGGAACTTAACCCTAAGTTCCTACTGTTACGAAGACGCTCCGAACCGATAAATACTACAACTGATTCTCGACTTTAACTCCCAAGAACCAGTGGTTGTAGGAGGGAGGTTGTATTATTTGGCAGTTAAAATCGAGAGTTAGTACAGTCTGTTAACAAATGTTTTATACAAAATGTGAAGTACTTTTATTCTTTTTGGTTCGTCTTCTTCGAACCTGTAAACGATTGAACCATTCGAGCCTTCGAGTTGCCCACCAGTGGTGACCAAGGCTGATGAACCAACACTTAGTTTTCATTTACATTTTCAGTATTATTTGTCTGCTTGTAGTACAATCCACTTCCTAAATTCATGAGAACATTATACAAAGATATCACTTATTTTCTATTAAAACTCTATTTGTCTGTAAATCAAGTTCTGACCTTGCTGGGCTGTTCGAATTTTTGGTCCAGTTACTATAATATCTACATTTTGCATCCAGTCTACTGTTTACCGACATTTATTTATCACCTGAATACGAATTCTAACAGAATCATTTACTCTCGTACCTTTATCAATCATCTACGACCAAATGACTTTCATATTCCAAAGAATCCAAGGAGGAAACATCGTAGTGGTTGGCAGAGAGCTCTCAAACCTACAACAATACACTTAACTACGGTCCCCGTCATAATGAACACAAACTGCCGCTCTCTGCCAAACAAGATAATGTACCTACAATCCTTGATGTCCACTGACACTTATCATAGTACTGCCATAATCACATTGCAAGAAACGTGGTTACACGAACTGTATAATGACAATCTTATCTCACTAAAGGACTTTATTTTATTTTGTCAAGGCCGTCAATGTTGTAATAAGAATAATGGTGGTGGAGTTGCAACTTTTATTCGCTCCAAATGGTCTGTTTCTAATAATGTCTGCTTCACCCTCTCAAATGACTTCATTGACTGTATTACTGTCAAATGTCGTCCCAAACATCTCCCCAAATATAAACAAATCTATATTACAAACATGTTCATTTCTCCTAGTTGCTCTCCATCTGATCTATCTAATTTTGCTGATGAATTCACCATGTTTGCTGCTGCCAACTTCTACAACTCTATCCGTTATTACTGGGGATTCCAACTCCCCTGATCGCTCCTTTCTTGAAGCACTTAGTCACACAAACATAGTTAAATTTCCCACTCGACTTGACAAAACACTCGGTCTAGTTTTCACTAATGACGAAGGAGTATATGAAACACGCAGACGTTCACCGATACTAAACTCAGACCACTGCATTTCCG